GTTCTGCCTATCCATGAACAGGGTATATTTTTCCATCTTCTAAGGTCTTCTTCTATATCTTTCTTTAGGGTTCTGTAGTTTTCATTGTATAAATCTTTCACCTCTTTTGTTCAGAGTAGATATTTTTAAAAAGAGAAAGCAAAACAAAACAAAAACAGAGGCATGAAATTCTTTGTTTCCACAGCAGGTAAGTCAGATTCTAATGAGGTTTCCCAGGGTTATGACATTTAGAACTGCTTCCAAGTAACTATTTAAAAGGTAAAAATTCTTTACCTTTGAAAGCACCACAGTTGGAAAAAGTCATCTCCACTCTAACATTCAAATTCCAAAGAAACACTACACTTGTCTACAGAAGTAGAGGGAAGTATGCATAGAGTCCTATAGGAAAGGCATGCAGTAAGAGTAAGAAATCATCAACAAAAATAAAGATAAATATATGGGGCCTCTTCTGGAAATAGACAAGCCACTCCAAGAGAAATATTTTAATGTGATCATTTAAAGAAAATTATTGAGAGCAAAAGTCAAATGAAGAGTGCATTTTCACCCGAGGTATTAATAATATGCAGTGCTAATAGCATCTTTTCCTCAAAATTCACGACATGATAACAATGGTAGGATTCTTCTCTTCTGTCATTTTTGATGATAATGTCCTGTTTTCTCATTAAGACAAAACTAGTTGCCTTTGATTTGCTGTCCTTATCTCAAATATATGAAATGAAATTTTGTTGATGAAATTGAGATTTTTAAGGTTGATTTTTCATGTGTTGAAGAGGACAAAATGTTCAAAAACTAAAAAGCAAAAGCAAACAGAAAGATAGCTATAGTTTGTATACAACTGTGAAAAAGCAAATGCCCATGAAGTTGAGGGAGGAGAAACCTACTTTGTCCTAAATGTATCTTGCCTCTTTTAAATATGAGCAAATGATCCCAAATATTCATTGTTCACATCAAAATCTAAGAAGCTAAATGGCAAAGTTTAATTCACCATTTTTCCAGGTCTTGCTGGTAAGATTTTAAAACCTGTAACAAACATTAGCCATTTACAATTAAGTTAAAGTTGGGCCCATTCAGTATTAATGGGAACCAAAACAGATAGAACAAGAAATAGACTAGTCAAGAATGATAGCAGAAAGGGAAGAAATAAAAAACATAATGAATTTGTCAAAGAAAACTGAACAAAAATGCTTTTGGGAAATAGTATGTTTAGATAAACAGAAGATAAAATGATTAAATTCACCTCAAACAGTTTAAGAATCAAGAAAATACCTCTACAAAAGTGTTATCAACAGATTCTAATGAAATGACTTGCATTGGTTATGACCTTTCAGACTCTATCTATTTATTTAAAACTATTAACACTAAGATTTCAGGCATTGTTCCTTCTCTAAAATATGAAAAGATCAAAGTTGAATATTATACAAATATATATAAAACATGTGATCCCTTGTGATGTAATTGAAAGTAATCTTAATCTTGAGGAATTCTTGAACATTTATTGACTCAGGAAGCTTTCCCATGGATACCCTAAAGAGGAAAAATGTTAAAATCCTCCTGTTGGAGAAGTACAATTAAAATTGCTGTGAACTTGTGTAATGTGCACCATTAACAGCTAATGACTTTCCTTTTTACCTCCCT